GGCCGGCGGGCGAGCTGGGGACCTGGGGAGCGGGGCCACCCAGCGCGGCCCGGCCCGGTCTCCCCGGGGCTTTGGGGGCCGGGCACGCTGTGCTTGCTTTGGAATGGAGCAGGTTCTTCCAACAAGAGGAAGAAAAGATAGGTAAAGCCCGCCGGGCAGTCGGGCAAAACATCCCCACGACGGGTCTGTTACTGAGGGTGAGTATTTCCGTGGACCGAGTCCTGAGCCCCGGGCCATCGCTCTTATTTTGGTGAGGAAGTTGGTGGGCAGCGTGCAGGCCTGCCCAGCGCCAGCCCCTTGCTAGCTTCCCCCGTGTGTGCAAGTGATAGCATGGGGGTAAACATAAACCAAATGGTATCTTCAATCATGTTTGTATACCGTATGTAAGCCAAGCGCTTTACCACTGAGCCATCTTCCCAGCCCCTGTATACCGTATGTAATACCTTTTGGAAGCGTACACATGAAATGGAGTCTGAGTAGCTTCCTCATGTGAGGCCACAGACCGTTTTTTTTTTTTTTTAATGCACTTTGTAAGTTTTTGTAATTCATGTTTTTATTTGGCTATCACGAGAATATTCTCAGGTAGGGAGAGAAAGAGGTAAAAAATAAAAATAAAAACCATTAAAACGCCAACCAGGTTGGAAAGAACCCGGTGTAGGCCCTCCTGTGGTGCCCAGGGGGCATTGTCCTTCAGAATTCCCTCTGGAGCGAGTCCCTGGGCGCTCTTACTCTTGACCTGGTACAGTGCAGAGGATCATACCAGATGCATTTTTCTCAATGTATAAAAATAGAATTCTTTCTGGCTCTTGTCTTTGAGGAAGCTATTACTCCTATTCTTTGGGGGAGGCCTGCTCCCTATATTTGACTTTCTCCTTTAATATATTTTTGTTGTTGCTGAATTTAAGAATTTTACAGAAAATGCAAACAAAAGTCAACACCACCACAAAAAACTAAGTACAGAATATGTCACTCTTTGATGGTTGATCTTTTTCTATACTTTTATTGCATGAGACTTTTATTTTTCTATTAAAAAACTCTTGTTTGGGGAACTACTGGGTTTTGAACTCAGGGCCTGGGCACTGTCCCTTTCTGCTCAAGATTGGCATTTTTTTTCTTTTTTTTTTGGTCAGTCGTGGAGCTTGAACTCTGGGCCTGGGCGCTGTCCCTAAGCTCTTCAGCTCAAGGCGAGCTCTCTATCACTTGAGCCATAGCACCACTTCCGGTTTTCTGAGTGGTTTATTGGAGATTAGAGTCTCATGGCGTTTCTTGCCTGAGCTGGCTTTGAACCATGATCCTCAGATCTCAGCCTCTTGAGTAGGTAGGATTATAGGCATGAGCCACTGGTGCCCTGCTTAAGATTGGCATTCTACTATTTGAGCCACAGCTCCACTTCTGGCTTCTTGCAGGTTACTTGGAAATAAGAATCTCATGGACTTTTATTCTCAGGCCAGTTTTGAACCATGATCCTCATATTTCAGTTACCCTGTATTATTAAGAATCCCCCTCCCCAGGTAAAATTAAATGGGGAACTGCAAAGAAAATTAAATGGGAAGAGGATCAAACTGAATGGCAGCTTCTGCACAGTGGTCCAACCCTTTGGTGGAATGCCACAGTGGGGGGGGGGCGGGGAAAGGGCTGATTTCACATCATCTAGTGACCCCACCCTCTGGGATAAAACCCAAGACCCTACAGC